TCCTCACCTCTTCTTTTTCTGTCTCTCTTACACTCCTATTTTAATAGTAGGACTGTCAAAAATGTAAATTAAAAAAACATTTATGTAAAAAATTATAATTTTAAATATATTTTAATATGATTATTTGATGTTAATCTAAATATATTTGCTGAGAAATGTCCCCAAGTAATATTATTTAATTTAATAAACAATATATTATTATTATTTACATTTTTAACTAATTATTTTATATTAATATTTAAAAAATATGTAGAAATTAAAAATATACATTTTTCATTTTATAATTTATTTTTAATTGTTAGTGTATGTAAACATGCTACTACATCTTGACAGCCCTATTTAATACTCCTAATTTAATCTCTCTTTATTTCTTTCTCTTTCTCTATTTCCTGCTCCCTCAGTTTCCCTTTGTCCACTAGCTGCTCTGTCCATAGACTAGAGCTTTGTTTATACACATTGTGTCTCTGTTCATTCATGAAACAGAGCAAGTGTTCCCCTGAGACACTGCAGGTCTCTGTTTTCCACTATGACTCCAAAAATAGTCCGTCTAGACTTAAGATTATGCATCAGTCAGCTCGTGTGCTTGTTTATACAATAAGACCAATGTCAGATCTTACGTAATGTACTTTTGCTAATGCATAGTTGATTAAAAGTATCTATCACAAGCATGCAACCTATGGAAGCCTATGGAAACCCATTTTCACTATGGAATAAAAAAAAATAAGAAAGGTTATTGCGACTTATTAACTCACAATTCTGACTTTTTTTCTCAAAATTCTGAATTTACATCTTTTTATTCTATGGCAGAAACAAGCTTCCATAACAGGCCAGACTGACCAATCAAAGAAACTCCATTGCAAAAAAAAGGTCCCCGATGAACGTAACCCATTGCATATACAGATACCTCAGTGTGATTTTTGTAATAAGTATCTTTATGACACAATTACAATTACCCAAAGTAGGATTTGTAACAAGTTTAGCTGGGTATTACACATTCGTGTAATACTATAATAGCAAAGATTAATATAGATTTGCTTTGTTAATTCAATTGACAGGAGTCACATTTCACAGCTGTCCATTTTTCATAATAGGCGAGCAGGAATCTGAGTCTTTATAGGCAAACTAATTAGTCTGCATCAGCCGTATAGCTTCATCCCCTAACGCGCTGAAGTGTAGGGCAATGAAATAATTCTTAGATTGGAAAAATGCGATTTAAAGGGACACATCATTAGCCTTGGTTTCAGGCCCACTGGCTGCGACTACAATAGCGGATTGCTCTTCACAACAGCAGCAATAAAATGATGACATTTCTCACTTCAACACCGCCGTAGCAAATTAAGCTCATGTTACACGCCTATCAAGACTGTTTATTGTCTACCACTTGTCAGAGATGCTTTACAGTGTCAGCTTTGGTTTTGAGGGCCTAAATACGGTGGTCCTGGGGGGCACAATGCAACAGCATTAGCCAAGCAATTAAAACTTGACAACTCACAGCATTAGCCTACAACATCTTTAATGCAAATAAGGGTCATTCACATAGCAAATCATTTTGAACCCAAGTGCTCAGTACAGTTATGGCTGGTAAAGCATGGAATCGCAACCCAAGCTCATTGGAAAAACTTGCCTGTGGCGACATTTCTGTAAAATATTTTGCAGCTTCTTGCATGTTTCACGACACTTTCAAACTGAAAAAGTGTTCAGTTTTATCAGAGACAGATAAATGTGAATCTGGCAGGGTTTTATTACACTGTGTAACAAAGTTCCTAGTTCAAGAAGAAGGAGGCGGGAACTGGCAGACATAAACACAAAACAGCGCGACAGCCCCTCGCGGACGACTGTCGCACACAAACAAAACCAAAACACAAAATAAACTCCAGGCCTGGTCCTCTCTCGTCACTCACTGTCGTCACTTTTATCCTTCCGGAGCTCCTCCGTGAGACTCGAGACCGGTGAGTGGTGCAGGTGTCGCTCACTATCAATTACTCCACCGGCCTCGCTCCGTTCCCACGCCTCTCAGTCCCTTCCCACTCGTCACATACCCCCATCGCCCCTCGCAGGCCAGGGGGTACCCACGAGACTGCGCTCTACTCCCCCCTCCCGGGGAGCCGATCACGGCGGCCGCGGCGTACCTGGGGGTAAGGACAGACAGAAGAGGCGAGAGAAAAGGAGACGGAAGGATGAGGAGAGACAGATACGAGAGATGAAAAGAAAAAAAATTATCGGTCCGGTTCCCGAACACACTGCCGCTTGGTCCTCAACCGGCTGAGAGGCTCTAACTCGTGGTGCCATGCGATGGTACTAGACATTGTTGGTGGACGGCCCACCGCTCCTCCGCCTCCTGGCGGACAG